CATACATACATGTTGTTGTTGTTATGTGCCATCGAGTCGGACCCAACTCATAGTGACCCCTCCTTGGGTTTCTGAGGCAGTATCACTATGGTAGTAGATTGCCCCATCTTCCTTCCAAGATATATATATATATGTACGTACATACGTACGTACGTATGTATATACACACACACATACATACATGCTTTTGGATCTTAGTAAGACCTTAGGTTTTTGTTTTGTTTTTGAAAAATAAACTGTCAACCTGTTTTCAACAAACAATAATACAACACTTTTCACTGAATGCCTATGGAATCAAACTTGAGGAACAATGATGACAAAATGTACTTTACAATAAGCTATGTCTACCTGGGATGGTTCAGCTGCAAAAATCAATTAATCACCAAAACAAAGTTTGTTTGTTTTTTTCCCTCAATAACTCTTTCACTTCTACCAGATAGAGGTGAGTAAAGGGGTCCCTGCCCTGTGAGTATGCCTGCAGGGGCAGGAGAAAATAAAAGTAGTCAAGGAATAGACAGTCCACTCCTGATTGGAGAGGTAAGGCAATGCTTCGGGGCCCAGGTGACAAGTGACAGCAGAACAATGGGTAGGAGCTAAACAAGTGGAGTCACAGTTTAACAAAAAACAGAAGGGGGGAACTCTAGGACATGTCTGAGCAACAGCAAACAGTTAAGGACTTGGCTGGAAAGAGAAAATAACAGAAGTTGGAGCCGTAATAGCAGCGGCGAGGCAAACATGTAAAGAACCCTGACTATCAATAATCAATGACACACTTCACAATGATCAAGTGAACAATATTAGGGTGGAATGGAGTAGGGGAGAAGCTGTAGGTATAGAGCCTACTGAGGATGCTGCTGCAACAGTGAGACATTAAAAGGGCTTGAATCATGGTAGTGGGTAACAGTGGGAACAAAAAAGGAGATGGACAGAATAAGAGACAATATTTACCTTTAAATATCTGAAGGGATATTAATCTGGGAAAGGAACTATTTCCAGAAGACAGAATTTAAATCAAACTCTTCTGTACCATACTCTCCCGCTGACTCATCCTCCTCTGTTTAGCCTCAAAGATTAGAATACTCTGATTCTACCGATTCTACTGATTCTTCTCTACTTTCCCTTCCTGGGAAATTTCATTTAGCCCATGGCTTTAAATACCATCTCTACACTGATAATTCCCGCATTTCAATGTCTAGAGTGACTTTCTCTAGAACTTCAGGCTAATTTATCTATCTGGCTACTTGCCATCACTTACATGTTTAGTAGACCTCTCAAACTTAACATGTTCAAAATAAAACTCTTGATAACTATTTCCTAAACCTACATAGGGTCACTATGAGTTGGGATGAACTCGAATGCATCTAACAACAACAAATCTACCCTTCCCCAAGCTCTACCTCAATAAATGGCACCACTATCCAATTGCTCTAGCCAAGAACCCATCCTAACATCCAATCCAACAGCATGTACTGTTGGCTCTACCTTCAAAATAAATATCAACTATCTCCTGTTCTCTACTTTCACGACTACCTCCTTAATCCAAGCCACTGTTGTTGTTGATGTTGTTATGTGCTGTCAAGTCGGACCCAACTCATAGCGACCCCTCCTTGGGTTTCCGAGGCAGTATCACTACAGAAGTAGATTGCCCCATCTTCCTTCCGAGGAAGGACGTACCACTAGCACCACTCAATTAACTTCCCAACCCCCTCTCTAGTCTTTGAATCCTTCACACAAACCAAGCTTGTCTGTCTTAAGGCATTAACACTGGCTATCCTCTTCCACTCCATCTTTGACACCAGATCCTACATGTCATTTAAATCTTACTTGAACTGTCACAGCATCAGAGAAGACTTCCTTGTCCTTCTAATCAAAAGTAGTCATCCAGTCACTATGACATCACCCTATTTTAACTATTTGCACAGCACCTGATTTTTTTTTTTTCCTCGTCTTGGATGGGGATGGGAGGCACAGTACATTTTATGAGAGAACAGGAACTGTCCTTGTACCATTCATTGTTACATCCCCAATAACTAGAAGAGTAACAGCACATAATAGCTGCTCAAATAACTGGTGAATTGATGAATCAGTTTTCAGAAAGACAGATCACAGACTATAAAATGGAGAAATTTCCAATAGTTTAAAGACATTTATAGTTAGAACAGGCTGGATTTTGAGATGATACATTCCCTGTCACTGGAAAGTTTAAGCTTAAGTGGATGAGATTCTTTAAAAAAATATCATAGAGGAGATTCCTTAGTTGGAAGGTGCAGGATACAATCCAACATAGAGGAGTTACCTTGTCATTACCCTATTTAAACACTTCCTTGTCATTTAGCAAATCACACATCTGTCCTCTGCCTAGCTTTTAAGGGCCTCCTTCTCAATTTCTGGTTTGTCTACACAGCTTTATTTCCAATTACCCCTAAGCACATACTTTCTAATCTCCTCATTGTCAGTCTCCTTGTTACCTAATCTTTAATCCTTCCATTCTCAGTCTCTCCTGTTCTTTTTTAGAGAATATTATGAAACTCCCTTTGAATACCACCCCGAATAGTTTCATTCTCCACCTTACCTCCCTTATGAGCCAGGCACATTCAGGGAAGATGGCATAATCATGAGTTTACAGTTTCTTTCTAGTTTTTAAAAGTATTTAAGCATCTATAAATAAATGTCCATATATATATCCTATATAACTTAAAAAATCTAAATACATAATGTACTGTACATATCCTGCAACGAGTTTTTTTTTTCCCCTGAGCATCAGTTTCTCGTTTTTGGCCCATTTTTAAAATCCTTGTTCAGATCTAACTTAATCATGCCATCTTCCCTGAATGTGCCTGGCAATATCTTGTCCTGTTCTCTACTCCTGTAACATACAAAGTCTCACTTGTAGAACTGTGTATTCTGTTATAGAAATATCTTGTATTGACCATAATAGTTCTTCCTCTTGGCTATGGCATAAACATAAGTGTAGAAAACATGTCCTATATGTTCTTCCCTGACAAATCCAGCACACGTTACTACTTTCAACAGGAGACAACATTTACCTTTAAATATCTGAAGGGATGTTAATCTGGAAAGGAAAGGAACTGTGTTTCCAGAGGGTAGAATTTGAATCAAATTACCAGCTTACCTCATCTGTGCTGTATTCTCCCACTGACTAAGCCCCTTTTCTCTAACTACTTTCTCTTCCTGGAAAATTTCATTTAGCCTTATGGCTTTAAACACCATCTCTATACTAATAATTCCCCCATTTCTATGCCAAAAGTGACTTTCACCAGAACTTCAGGCTCATTTATCTCACTGCCTACTGATATTATTTGGATGGGGTGTTGTTGTTGTTGTTATGTGCCATCAAGTTGCACCTGACTCATAGAGACCCCTCCTTGGGTTTCTGAGGCGGTATCACTACGCACGTAGATTGCCCAACCTTCCTTCCGAGGAATGGCTGGTCGGCTTGAACCCCCAGCCTTCTGGTTAGCAGTCAAATGCCTTAGGCACTACGCTACCAGAACTCCTAATATAAATATCTAAGATGAAATACACACACACACACACACACACAGAGATAAAATAAATATACAAATACATATATATAGAGATCTAAGTGAAAAAACTAAGGTCCTGAATAATATATATATATATATTTTTTTGAAAATGTGATTTGGGTGCAAGTTCACAGAGCAAATTCACCTTCCATACAGCAGTTAACATATACTCTGTCTCATGATATTAACTACAAAGAGTATAATCTCTTTTATATAAGGAAGACATACATAAAGATTTCTGAAAGGCTAGAATAAAACATGTTAATAGTGGTTCTCTTTGGAGAAAAGACCTATGGGGTGAAGGCAGATAGGATAAAGATTCATTTTAATCCTTTAAGTTATAATTTACCAACATGTGCCATTAACTTATATTTGCCTGGTCTCAGGGAAAGGAGTTCTGCTGGTATAGTGGTTAAGGCATTTGGCTGCTAATCAATAAGTCAGTGGTTCAAACCCAACGGCTGCTTCGTGGATCAAAGACGGGGCAGTCTGCTTCCATTAAGATTTATAGCCTTAGAAATCCAATAGCGCTCCTATGAGTTAGAATCAACTCAGTGGCAGTGAGTTTAGTTTTTCTGGTCTCAGGGAACCATGAGTTGAGATTTGGAAAGAGGTAAACAAAGCTTAAGGTAAGAAGAAATAACTGCTTATTAAGATTAATATACATAAGGTATTATCATATATGATCTCATTTATGCCTACAAATGTCCTAGAAGGTGATGTTCAATTTTCAGATGAGGTTCAGGAACTTGCTTCAGATTACACAGTTTTAAAAACCTTAAGTGTATATGTATTGAGCAACTTTACCTTAACATTAATTTTTATCCTCTTCATTTTGAAATTGAATACTACAATTGTAAGTTTATGCCTCACTAAGATAAGAATAGAATAAAAAACTAAAGGCAAGGACTTGAAAATAATTGAATCCCCTAATTACACAGTAAAATCTTTCTAAACCTACAAGGGAGCCCTGGTGGTGCAGAGGTTAAGTTCTCAGCTGCTAAACAAAAAGGTCAGTGGTTTAAATCCACCAGTGATTCTGTGGGAAAAAGATGTGGCAGTCTGCTTCCGTAGAGATTACACCCTTGAAAAACCTGTGGGGCAGTTCTACTCTGTGCTATAGGGTCACAATGAGTCATAACTGACTCAATGGCAGTGGGTTTGTTTCTTTTTTTTGAAACGTAAAGGAAACAGAACAACTTCTGTCATCTTTTTAAAAACATTTTTGTTTTTAAACAGTGTTAAGGTGAGGGAATGCCTCAGGTGGTAAGCCTTGCTGGTTGGTGTCAATGTGAATAATCAGGTGATTGCATTTATTGGTATAAACAAATTACACTTTCTAAAACTTTTCTCTTCCCCGTGCTGTTCTTTTGTAACCTAAGTCCTTGTGAAAAAAGTGAGGTGGGTAATTTCTAGGGTGTGATTAAGATTTTTAAAAGACATTTCCTTAGATAATGTCAACACTACTTAAAGTAAGTATTTCTTACAGTGAAGATCAGAGTTATGCAGGGGGAATCAATAACTGATCCAAGCATGTTCTCCCACCAACCTGTTACTAAAGGGCCCCACAGTTGAAAGAACATGGGTTTCGGGTCACACCCAAGTTCAGTTTTGCTCTGCTACAAGCTAGCTGCCTAAGTCTAGGCAGGTCTTCCAGGTCTGGTACTTTATTCATAAAATGGGAACAATAATACTCTCCATGATTGTTGTGTAGATTAGTATCTGGTACAAAGGAAATACTCAAAATGGTAGCTTTCACCAAAACTTAACTTTCACCATTAATTAGCTTTCACCTGCTACCTCTCTCAAATCCCTGTCTCCAATAATACATTACGAACACCAAGCTGAAGAAACAAAATCTTAAGTATTATGATTCTGATAATGTAAAAAATACATGTGCACAGAAAAAAGACTAGAAGATAACTACAGAAAATTATTAATGGTTTTCTTGGGGTGGTAAGATTAGGATGATTGTGTCTTCCTTTACACATCTCTATATGGTCTAAATTTCTTATAATAACACTTTAAAAATTACTCTGGTTGCCACATAGTATACTTAGATTTTGTGTAAATCCATTAATATTGGGAAGAAGGGGCTAAGCTTTGATTCACATGATGGTATTTTATTTTGCTCATTTACCTCCCTCCATATGCATGAAAGACAACAGACTCCTTTCCTGTACTAACACAGCCAGTGATTGTCTCCAACATTCCAGAGTTGACCATTTTATACATAAGTAAACGTGTCTTAGGATCAACTGCTTTTTCCTATAAAAGATAGAGCACTATAAGTGATAATGACTGTTAATCAAGAAACATTTTCTGAACTATTTCCAGTATCTTAAATTTTTAAAAAATAGTTTATTTTTACCTTTATTATCACTTAGCTGTATATTAACAGGTTCTTATAAAAGTGCTATCAAGATACTATTCATTTCCATAAACTACAAATCTAATGTGCTTGAAAGTAAATATATAAATGAAAAACAGAGATCATTTGCATTTGAAAAGACTATCTTGAAAGTAAATATATAAAAGAAAGTAAACATAAAAATAAGTAAATATAAAAAGCCAGACAACTAGCTTAGTCAAAATCTTACTTTCTCCCTGAAGTTTAAATCACTCTCCTGGCATACTTACTCGTTTTCCTAAAGAGTTAATCAATTAGTTTATTCTCAAGTTATCAGACTTTATCTTCATTATTAGACTATTAAAGTTGCTACAAATGTGTCAATAATGTAATAAGAAACAATTTTTACAAAGAATTCTAAAAAATCCAGCTGTACTATAAACTACACAGTTTATAATTACGACCACTAAAATGTTAGCTTTGAGTAAAGTTGTTTATAACCATTACATTAAAACTGAAAAATCAAATAGTAAACCCACATGGATATCACTTAATCTTTGATGTGAAAACTCAACCACATGAACAGATATCCAGCATGGAGCTTTCCCCACCCCTACCTCTCAACAAAAAGTTTTCTAATTTAAATCTTTCCATTAAACAAACAAACAAACAAAAACTTAAGATCACTTACTGCAGTAGAATGTTCCTTTTTCTCATGGAGGCGGGCACTTCGACGTTCTTCTGAGTAGGCATGTTGTTTTAAAGCATTGAAAACATGATTTGATAGTTTTAAATCCATTCCAATTCCATCGCCTACCTGAAACCCAGGTGCAAACTGCCAAGAAAAAAAGAATCACATCTAAATACTGTAAAATGAGGTTAGAATAAATGAAGATCAGTCTTTACTCACAACAAGTTTCTTATTCCAAATATGACCATGCTACAAAAGCAGAACCCAGAGGTCGTAGAGAAAAATAAAATAATTCACTAATAAATCCAAAAAGGAAGCAATACCATCTAAGAAACTGCAGCCCAAAAAGGGTTTTTCTGTATGACATAAAATTGAACAATTTAACATATTAATTTTATTCTATGCAAAAAAAAAAAAAATCTACTTGCATCTAAAGACGAAGGTCGTTCAGCTTTTATTTTGTACTTTGCTTTTACAACACCCAAAGGACACACTATTTTGAAGGCTACACCAAATCTTACCAAAGAAATACAATTTCATAATTAACCATTTTTGAGGAGTGGGTTAGTATAGCAAGCTAAGCCCACACCATGACAATTATGTTCTACAGCTATGCTCTCCAATATTACGGTAGCCACATGTGGATATTTAACTTTAAATTAGTTAAAATTAAAACTAAAAATTTAGTCCCTCAGTTACACCAGCCATATTTTAAGTGCTGAACAGCTACCATTATGAACAGAATTGGTACAGAACGTTTTCATAGTCACAGAAAGTTCTATAGGACACTGCTGTTCTAGAGTCAGACCTGGAATATTTCTAGACTCGATATAATTTAATAATATGCTTACTTAATAAGCATTTGTGTTCTAAAGTCTTAATGTTTTATTTTAATAAGAATATGAAACAGAAAGAATTTTTTTAAAAAAAATTACATTTTTTTCCTGACATACAGGGGTAGTTCACATACTCCTGTGAACCCCTTTTGGAAAAGGTTCAAAAAGCATATAGTAAAAAGTAATTCTCCCTCCCATTCCTATACCCAATCAACAATGTAATCAATTTCTTGGTTAGGGATGCTACATTATGTAAAATAATATGCTGAAGAACAAATATATTACTTTCATAAGAACTATTTCTTAATTTTAGAATCAAGGTAAATAAACTATTTTTCTTAAGATTATCATAGAACTTTATTCTGAGGTACTTTATATTCTTATTAGCAGCTGAGTTTTCATGGTATAGCTATAATGTCATCTAAAACATCTTTAGAAAAAGGACTTTTTTTTTAAAGAAATGTAAGATATTGTATTTAAATTTCTATGTTTTTAACTTATTCAAAACTCTCAACTCAGATATAGATACTTTCTGTAAAACTTACATTTTCCATTCTTGCTGTATTCTTTCTCCCACATACTACTTCATCATGTTTGGTGGTGATGTCTTTTCCTTTTCCAATAAAACCCTTTTTGGGAGTAGGAACTGGTTTTGCTAAAGATGATTAAAACAAGCCAAGAATATAAAAATAGCAAAACTATATTGCTGCATTCAACAATTCTGAAAAGGCATTTGAATCTAACAGAGTAAATTACCAAATGACAGACTCAAAGATAAATACAAACCAGAAAGGTTCCTTAGAAAAATTAATCTTTCTGTGCCCCAGCCCGATCCTTCCCCAACAGAGTATTTAAAAGCACTGATACCTGGCATGTAGGGATCATCTCGGGTATCTTGCCAGTCAACCTCATCTTCAGAGCTATCACTGTCTTCGTAAGGATGCACTTTTCGATAATTTTCAAAGGAAATGGAAACTTAAAGGCAAAAATAATTGAAGATTCATATAGGGGCATGTTATAAGCATGTCCTACCACCACCAATATGTCACAACAGGGTCACAGTACCTTTGCTATCTCCATTGAATTTTTTTTCTTCACGCCTAAGCTGTGCATCATATTCTCTGTCAAATTCCATTTGTAGCATCTGAGCCAGCATGAGGTCACTGGAGGTGTCAATGTTTTCTCCAGTAATGAATGGTCCTTCAGCAACACTATCAAAATAAGGCAGTGTAAACTGATAGAACGTGCTGGTGTCAACAGATGCAACCAATTATGAGAGTGGGATGTGCCTTTTCAGTGTTAAAATTCTACTAAAGCAATGGGAAAGAACTCTTAACCAGGTCATTCGCATTTCCTTATTTGTTAATTTAGAGACCAGCTAGTTCAACAGTTAGATTAACATAACTGAAACCCAGAGAAACAGAGTGGTTTGCCCAAGATTATACTAAAAACCAGTCACAGAAATAGCACCAAAACTCAAGTATCAATGGACTTACAGTATAGTGTTCTTTGTACTACCTGTTTTTCTAAAAGTGTGTCTTCATCAGTTGTCATGACAATCACTAATCAAATTCAAACTTTGCTATAATAAGCTGCTGATAAAATAGGTTCTTGGTGAGTTTTACTTACCCACCAACATCAGGAAAAACAGCAGCTTCTTCTTCTAATTGTAATTCTTTAGCCAATTGTTCACTCATTACATCAGCCAAGGAACAAGAAGATATTGTATTTTGAAGGGTAGCCCATGGACACTATTTAGGGGGAAAGAAAGGCGATTCAATTCATAATTCATAGCATTGAAATAAAATGCCTCCAGAACTTGGAAATAAGGTTATCTTATTATTTGAATCATTCACTATTTGTAAAAAGTATCATAAAAGTAAAAATATCTCCCAGCTCAAATCTGACCAAGGATAAATTTAAAAGCTAAAACAGCCAAAAGCTCTCTCTAGCCTGCTTAGCAGGTTTGTCCTTATACGTCAGAAAGTACCAGGCTATTAGAGCATCACACCACAAACCTAATGGTTAATGTAACTCCCTTGTTCACCACGGAAGCACCCTTGTGCTGATAAATTGGCTCCCTAGGTGGTTATTTGTATAGGAATAGGCTAGCTATAACAGCTAGCAGAACTCAAAACACACTTAAAAGTTTTATCTCATTCTAATTTAAGCATAGTGGCTAAGACACTTGCCTGCTAACCAGACGGCTGGCAAACCCACCAGCCACTCCTCGGAAGGAAGTTTGGGCAATCCTACTTCCGTAGTGATACTGCCTCGGAAACCCAAGGAGGGGTCGCTATGAGTCAGGTTTGACTCGATGGCACATAACAACAACAACAACAATTTAAGCACTATGATTTTGACATCAGTCTTCTAAATGTAAAAAGTATATGTCAGCTCCTCTCAAGACATCTTTGGATATACTAAAACTAAAAGAACTTAACAAAATGACAGTCTCTGAACTTTAAATGCTGAGAATCAGACTCTGGAAAAAATATAACTATCCAAAACCAAACCCACTGCCATCAAGTCAATTCCAACTCATAGCAACCCTATAGGACAGAGCAGAACTGCCCCATAAGGTTTCCAAGGCTGTAATCTTTATGGGAGCAGACTATACATCTTTCTCCTGTAGTGCATTTGGTGGGTTCAAACCACTAACTTTCCAAATAGCAGGCAATCACTTAACCAGTGTATCACCAGGGCTCCTTACCTTTGCCCTCTTGAAATACAACTGTAGGTTGATTTCACAATTCATATTTTCTGAGGGGGCAAGCTTTATTTGTTGTTGTTGTTATGTGCCATCGAGTCAGACCCGACTCAATAGGGACCCCTCCTTGGGTTTCTGAGGTAGTATCACTATGGAAGTAGACTGCCCCATCTTTCTTCTGAGGAGTGGCTGGTGGGTTTGAACCGCCAGCCTTCTGGTTAGCAGTCAAGTGCCTTAGGCACTACGCTACCAGAGCTCCTAAGCTTTATTTAGCAGCAGCAAATAACTACATTTTGTATTCTAGTGATTAAGAAGAGCATTAGTATTGCCACAGCTGTCTAAGTATCTCTTGAGTATGCCCAACTCTCTCTACCTTCCTTCCATGATTCTAAGCCAAGGTACCACCATCACATCTCAGGGCTCCTGTCAAAGGTCCCTAACCAATCTTTCTGTTTCCAGTCTTGCTTGTCCCCACATTCCATACCACAAAACAGTGGTTTTTCTAAAATGCTGCAGATGTGACTGGTTCAGTTGCCTTGCTTAAAGGTCTTTCATCATTTCCTGTTGCTTCTAGGATAAAGTCCAAATCCATTCCTTAACATGCTCAGAAAGTCCTTTGTGATGGGGCCGTTCTTTTTGCTTCTACTGTTCCTTACATCTACAACACTCTTTCTCACCTACTTCCTAGCCCAGCTTACTTTTAATCAACCTTTAGGTCTTAGCTTAAATATCACTTTTTCTGTGAGGACTTGTAATGCCCACTCCAGATTATGTTCACCTGCTTTTATATACACTGCTTATATATACACTGTTACAGTATCTTATGCTTCATCTCTTAAACATCATTGAAGTTTATTGTAATTACTGGGGTAATTTCTATCTTCCTTTTCTCAAGGTTGTTGTGTGCTGTTGAGTCGGACCCGACTCATAGTGACCCCTCCTTGGGTTTCTGAGGCAGTATCACTACGGAAGTAGATTGCCCAACCTTCCTTCTGAAGAAGGAAGCTGGTGGGTTTGAACCGCCAGCCTTCTGGTTAGCAGTCAAGTGCCTTAGGCACTATGCTACCAGAGCTCCTTGTTTGCCACAAAATTTAGAGTTAAATTAATTAAAATCCCAGCACCTAGCCAGCATGTTGCTGCTGTTAGTTGCTGTTGAGCTGGCTCCCAACTTCTGGTACCCCATGAATGCCATCCCCATGACTGACTGTGAACTGGACTATTGTGATGCATATAGTTTATATTGGATGATTTTTTTTTTTTTTATTAGGATT